TGGCTGCACAGTGTTGCCGTTTTGTGGATAATTCTCCAAATTGGGGGAATTATAATTTTTGCGGCTAATGTTTGGGGAACGATATGCTGTGGGGAAATTTCGGGAATTTGCTCTTTAATAACTATCTATCAAAAATTTGAGATTCATAAATATTTTCAAATTAATTTTTATAGAGTTTCCTTTTTTCATTTTGATTCTTGTACTGTCTTCTGTATCAAATGTTTTTCTATTTAAATAAAACTGGCAACAATACAAGTATAGTATTATTAAAAGTACTGTGTAATAATTGCTTTAGCAGTAACAGATCAAATTCACACAAGGTGGCCTTGAATGAACAGCTGAAATATTCGCCGCAATGATTTTTAATGTTAAAGGGATGTATTTGTATGAATTCGCCTTGTGAAGTAGTTTGCAGAAATAATTTTGCTTTGAATTATCGGTTGGTTCCAAGGCACATTGAATAGGTAACAGCAGCAGATGGTTGCAATTTGCATTTTTTAATTCGAATTAGTAGTAATCGAATTCAAATATTCTCGTGAATATAATAATATGTTTCTTAGATTTTGTATCTTAATAAGTGCAATGACGATTGAACTACAGATTAAATTTTAATGACCAAATAAATTTTTTACAATCAGGGTCCAAATAAATGACTTCATACAATAATTTTTTCTATTCCCTAATAAGCAATTTTTTTTTTTATAATGTGTATTTAATATTTTATTTAACACTTATACTTATTATATAATATATTTTGTAAAAGATGCAGAGAATTGTAATAACAAAATATACTATACAAATATCTTAAAGAATAATACAGCTTTGTGAAGGAAACTAAAGTAAAAAATATTTAGTATTTCGTTTCTAGGGAATTTGAAAACTTTTGTGGGGATTTTTGGGTAATTTCTGGGTAATTAAACGAATTTAAAACGGCAACGCTGTTGCTGCATTACAAAGGCATTATGCACATACATATATAGAACCACAGTGAGAGAGTAAAAGGTAGACGAAATGTGTAAATGCATATTAACTCCATTAAACGGATGGCTGGCAGGAGTTTGTGCTGCCAGCGAAAAACTGTTACACGTCGCACTTCGTAGAGCAACTGTTGAGCTGACAATGTAGCAAATAATTCATTGTCATGGCTGCAGCAATACCAATATGCGAGCACAGGTGCCGGCATGCACGCACGCACGCACGCACAGGATAATGTGGCTATTTGTCGAGTTATTTGCGGAATTTTTTTTATGCTCGGGCTTTTACATTTGTAGTGCGTTTGTTATGTTTTTTGATGGAATTTTCACTCGATGTTGATTTCGTTTACCCCGTTCTCGCTTTATTTTTGTTGGCTTAAGTTACTTAAAATGTCTTATATGCTTTGCTTTTCTACTTGCAGGTGGTATCGCGTCTCGGATTCATCAGCACTATATCCGATTCCATCGTCGCAACGCGTGATATTGTCACGCACGCTGTTGCTCATCAAAAATGCTGACGAGCGTGATGCTGGAAAATGGGTAAGTGGGCGTTATGTTAACTAACGCCTTTGGCATAAGCTGAAGTGTCTGGTATATCTGAAGTGTGTGTGTGTGTGTGTGTGTGTGAGCGAGTGAATGGCAAATGCGATTGTGTATGAAAGTAATGAAATTTTTTTTTGGTGGACAAATCAAATATGTTGGCGGAAAATTTGGAAAATATGTATGTACGTATTTGTATGTGTACATAAATTGAAGTGTTTCAGCTGTATACGAAAAAATCGCCCCCAAGCAAATCATGAAATTGGTTTTTTTAAGCTCCCATCCAAATATTTGTTCCCTTTTCTGGATCAGTCGCGTTTATCTTGCGGAAATTTATTTCGCAACTAGTTTGCTTCAGTGAATAGCCAAAGATGACAGAAGTGTATAAATAACCTACGTGGCAAAATTATAGCGCGCCACATATCGGCAAGTTAACATTTTTTTTATTTATTTCATTCATTTTTTTTTTTCAAAATTTACATTTTTCTTCAGAGAAAACCAGAGAACTTTCAAGTTTAAATCTTTGTGTAAGATTAAAAAAAATCAATAAACTTTCGTAAAATTTTCCAGTTTTCAATTCGATTCCTTAGAAAGATTTTGAGTATGCAGGTTTGTTGCCAAATCTCTTTTAGTATAATAAGCCGCAAGTTTGAGGGAACTAGGACATCAGACATAATTGCAAGGTTTTTTTCCCTAAGCATAACCAACTGTGACAATGAATGACCGAAACCCATTTGGTAAACTGGTGGTTCCAAGAGAGGCCATCGGCGCAGGAGTCTATGTCTCATTTTCATGGTGCATCTCATCGAGCTACATACGTCCGAAGTAGCGGGTAGAAAGTGTTACCATCTTAAAGCTGGTTTGAGATAACCTTCGTATTTCAATACTCAACACACTCGGGAAAAGGACTTACCCCGTGTGAGTGCTGGGACAACGTGTAGTCACTCGGAATTATTTCCCCTTACGGCAGTAAATTTTACCAAAAAAAAAAATCAATTTATTTGCCAAAATATGGGCCCATTATAGTAAAACTACATTTTTAGTTTTCCTTCCTCGTCAGGATTTTTTTTAAAGAAGACTTTAAAATTTCAAATTGGATTGATTTTACAGGCCAACAAAAATGGAAGAAATGCTTGGTGGGGTAAATATTAAAAGTATTTTTGATAGACAATCTGTAAAATTAAATAAGTTAATTGGTGCAGAAAATATCCTTTTATAATTGTATCGTTGAATATCACTAAAATTCGCAGTCCGGCAGGTTCTGCAATTCACTTCCGACTGAATCTCAATCTTCGCTCAGAAATGAATTGCAGAACCTGCCTTAATATTTATTTTTCAAAAAAAATAAATTAAGGACAAACATTTCGAATTTCGTCCTTCTATCTTTATTAGCTCCAATAAAATGAAATTAATTAAAAGGGCATTTTCAAAATCCATTTGAACTTATGAACCAAAAACTAAATTTTTTTAAATTTTACAGAATTTTATATTTCCCATATTGTTATTCCAGATTTAACTGAACTTTTATATAATTTTTTGAGTACTTAAATTATATCATTGAAAAGTCAAAGTCTAAAAAATCAAGACGTCAGAGCGAAAAAGTAAAAAAAATCGCAGTTTCAAGTACTTTAGTCGGCCATTGTTTTGTGATTATATTATTTTTTTCGTGTGTTTTGATTTTTTGTTTGTTTTTGCCGCACAGTGTTTTATATAGGAAAAAAGGAAGCAGAAACTTACTGTATCAAAGAAAAATGGTAAGCAAACAGAGGTCCTTTGAATTTGATTGTTCTTGGTCGCGGTAGCTAGGTGACCTGCTCCCTCCTCTAAGCCCTAGATACCTGTGGCACCACAAGAAATCTCATTTATCTCTGCTATTACATTAAATGATATGCGTAATTTCCTAAAGATTCCGAGTTACCTGTGATAGAATTTAACGCTTTTGGAGACCGACTGCACCTGCTTTTAAACATTCGCGCAAGTTCGGCTTGTAAGACGCTACAACAGTTCGATAGGCGAAACGACTTTTGTACTCCTTGTTGTTCCGAGTATACTCCTCGGTTTGCAGTGTGTAGAACTGAATAGAAGCCGTGGGTCACGGAGCGTCCGGAGCCCATTGCTCCCTGCTATGAATTTATACTTTATGTGATTTTAATTGTGTTCCGTAAATCAAATTGTAATCCATCGTTGAAAGATATTTTGACCAAAATTATCTTCCTTCGACCAGCAAACCTGAATATTTCAAACCAACCAAGTAAATTCAGTTTAAGTTACGCGGAAATTCTTGAAATTTTATCTTCTTGAAACTTTGATTTATGTATATGGTTTTGGCTAAAGCTTGGACAATATTATTATAGAAAAATAACAAAAAAAAATTAGCTAAAAAAAATTGTGAATATTTAAAAAAAAAATCAACACCTGAACACTTGTTTGAATCACTGTGTATATTTTTTGAAATTGACTTATAAATGCTATTAACGTCTTACTTACGTATGTCTCAATAATCTTTCGCGTAAATCGTAAATTTAAAATGTTGTGTATTGTTGTTGTTGTTATGATTTTGCCGTGTGTGTCGCCTTTTAAGCCATTTCATTTTCATTCTACCTCTACTTCTCCATTATTTCAGGCTCAGATATACATAGCTATGTTTGTAACTTGTATGTATTTTTCAATTTTTCGTAGGTCTGCCAGGCTGCAAATCAATTCGGCGAACAGCGCATTGAAATTCGTCTGCTGGTGAATTCGTATGTGTCGGTGCATATATTGCCGCAAGTTCAAATTGTCAATTCAGGTGGAATGGCAATTTTCAATTGTTCGACGACGGGTTCAGCGATCGATGGTGTCGAGTGGCTGCATAACGGTATGCCGTTACAGGGGAATAATGCGCTTAGCAACGGACGGGAAAAGTAAGTGAATACACACATATGTATATCGCACAAAATACGCTTTTGATATAACTTTGTGTGTGTGTGTGTTTGCATGCGAGGCCAGGGATTCTATTCACATTTAGTGCTGAAAATCAAAAAGAAAAAAAACAAAGAAAACAAAATGGAGTTTGGTGTGAAAGTAAAAAAACCTTGTTTTTTGAATAAAAATTGCAGAGATTTACAAATTATGTAGACAATCGAACAACGTGTTTAGGTTTTAGACCGAACTAGTGCAAAAAATATCATTCGATTTTTTCTTCTGCTTGCGACTTTTTCGACCGTTTCGGGGGCAGTGCAGTACTATTTCGGGACTAATTAGGTATCATTTTGGGATATGTTCATTTGAGACTAGTTCGGGCCTATTCCAGGAGGATTCTGCTTTATTTGACATCTAGTTCAGTAGCATTTTGCGTCCGGTTCGGGATCATTTCAGGATAGTTCAAAACTCGTAATGAAATGATTCGGAAATAGTCCTCATGTGGCTATAATTGGTCCCAAAAATTAATAAAATAAAGTGAACTGATATCAATGTTTAATTTCTAGTCTACCCTATTTATATATGTATGTTTTTTTAATAAAATTTAAACACATCTTTATGACTCTGCAGCAAACTGATAAAAAAGCTATTGCCAGAATTTGGCAGACTTCAAATTTATTTTAAGGCCGTGGTTTCTATACGCTATACGGTCGTAGTTGAAAAAATCTCCCATATAAATTGACCAGCCCTAATGTACATTTATATCTATTTAAGAACATAATATTACATTTTTTTAACTGCTATTCTATTTTAGCCAATTATTTAGTATGATTCGCGATTCACTAATTGAATCAAAAAAAAATAATAATAACCAAACCGTAAAGCGTTAAAACCCTCGACGCCAATTAATGGGCCATCAGTATAATCCCTCATTCATTCATGCATACATACATACTATTGCAACTTGTTTTGCACAGCTATTGAAGTAACTGTTTATATCTAGTGTACACTATGTATGCACTGCTGTTTAATGTTCGCACTTTGATTTATTCTCAATGGTATCCATTCATTTTTCATACCGTATATTTGAGGTTTTCACTTCCGCAAAAGTTATATTCAAATTTTGTTGTGGTTGCGGAGTTGAATAGCCGGGTGCAACAATAACATACACGCACATTAACAATTTTGATTTTCTCAATTTTGAGAAATGACTATTTGCTGCAGCGGACAGCTCAAATGGAGAAATAAAACAAAAGCAAACCAAAAGGAATATAAAACTTGCAAATATAAAAAATAAAAAAATATAAAATCGTAGTATACAAACTAATTGGCTCCTTCATTTGTTTGTGGTCAAGAACTTGAGTTAGGCTATCAAACCGATGAGCCGGATTAGTTTGCGGAATGGCCAATTGTGGGCGAAGAAAAAAAATGATACCACAACAATAACAATAACCGATGCTATACACCAACTCAAATTAATACCAATGTTTTGTGGTTATATCAATGCATGGCTTTCGATGCGTAATGACGGATTTGAAATTTCGACAAATGAACATTTATTTTTGTAGTATTAAAATAAGTACATACATACATACATAAATATTCATACAGTATCGGTCATATCTATAGCACGCGATTTCAATGTGATATTGTGCCACTTATGTTTATTTATTAATTTTTATGAATTTTCAATTAAAATATAGTTCATTCTCAGACAATCCCGATACAAACCCAAGTGTAACAATTTGTAGAAAACTACAAAAAAATTCAACAAATTTTCACCTAAATTTCAAACTTTTTTCTCGGAAGTGTAAGAATTTTTTTGAGCACACAGTTCTTAGCCACTTAAAATTTGCACATTATCAGACTAAAATTGAAGGGGCTAAAAAACTGTGTACGCAAAAAAAATTCTAACACTTCCGAGAAAAAAGTTTGAAATTTATGTGAAAATTTGTTGCACTTTTTTGTAGCTTTCTACAAATTATTAAGCTTGGGTTTGTATCGGGTTTGTCTGAGAATGAACTACATTTTAATTGAAAATTCTTAAAAATTAATAAATAAACATAAGTGGTATACAATATCACTTTGAAATGGCGTGCTATAGATATGACCGATACTGTATGTCTAGTTAGTTTGAAATTGAAACTTTTGAATTTCCTGTTGATGTGGCTACAGGTAAATTCATCATTCATATCTACAGAGTTTTGTCGGCTTCGGCGACGAGTGGAGCACTTTTCAGTTCGAAAATTTTAATTATCAGTAACGTTGTTGCTTAAAAGATTATCGGCAATGCCCATTTTCGACCTGAAATGCCAGTTGGTTTCCTTGCGATACGTTTTTTCATGGGAGAAGCAATCAAACTTGGGTCTAAAGGAACATTAATACCCACATGGGTCCGGTCTCTGGTGCGAGCAACATCTGAAATTTGAAAACATTTTTCTTACTACGGTCGCCTCCCGGCCGGAAGTGGTAGAATTCCGCTTGTATTTAATTTGTTTACCGGTCTATCCATTCTCTAATTAGGACAATCGTGTACTTGCGGTGCTGGTAGGAATACCCAACTGGGCTAGCGAATTGGAGCAAGGAGATCAGGAAGGCAAAGATAGAGAGAGAAAGAGAGAGGGAGCGAGAGAGAGAGGGAGCGAGAGAGAGAAAGAGAGAGTTACAGAACCTTCAGTGAAGATATCGGGAACACTCCAGAAGTCCCAAGGCTACGCAACGGAATAACCACAATAACAGTCAAGAATGATAGAATACAAGATTGCGCCGATCGGAGAGGATTTTTGAGAATATCTTGTGTGTGACGTCACACTGGTGCAATTGCGAGAGAGAAATGCCAAAACGTGAGCAAGAATGGAAGAAGAAGAAAAAATGTTGCAAGGAAAACGTAAACAAGTTGCACCAGTGTGACGTCATGCAAACAACGATTCTGTCAAATTCGTTAAGAGAGGAATAGCGGTCCGAGATCGGCGCAACCTTTGTATTCTCTCAATCGTGAATAACAGTAGAATTGGATTTAGAGTTCAAGACAGCTGAAAGCACCTACATACATATACCAAAAGTAAAGAAGAAATGACAATTGCTCTGCTTACAACACAAAATTTCCGAAGACCTTTTTATTTTAGAAATGGTTTTGGAGGTTCGGCAGACCAAGCCACGACTGTAAGACTGGAAACTGGCAATTAGTATATTCACCCAGATAGTCAGATGGTCGCTAAGCACGTTTGAGCACTACAAGGCTCCAATGGTAAATGCCATCTGGCCATGCAAAGTGAAGAAAGTGGTCGATATAATGAGGAGCAGTCCTCCGGAAACATATGTTAAAAGTTATATAGGACGGCGCGAGTAATCTTAATTGCGAAGGTTGATAAAAGGGATTATTCGCTACCAATGCCTTTCAGACCTATAAAGGAAACCCTCTTTGTGTTGAAGGCAAAGGAGAAAAGAATGGGCAATCACACCAGATATAGAATTCTGAAGGTAAGACCACTATACACCGGTTAGTATACACACAAAGCAGGAACGTCCACAGAGGGTTTCTAAGAAACACTATGATCCATATCCAAACTTCTACATAGTGAGTTAAACATAGTCGCCAAATGGTGCAGGAAAAATTGTTTAAACATAAACCGCAAGAAGACTAACATAACCATTTTCGCCAGAAATAGGGAACGGGAGAAGTTACTGGAACCATTCCTTAAAGCAGAAAAGATACGCTTCTCTAAAAAGGTCAAGTGTCTCAGAGTAATCCTTGATGACAAGCTGTCATGGAATTCGCACTTAAATAAAGATATTAGAAAGGGCAGTGCCGCTCATTTCAACTGCCGGAAACTTATGGGAAGAAATTAGGATATCAAATTGGCAAGGTGGACGAATGATGCCATTTTCAAATTCATTCTTACTTACGTTGCGCCCGTCTGGTAGAACAAGGACGGTGTAAAATGAACGCTCAGGTCAAGTTCAGCTAACTAAAACGACTAGTCTAGATGGACATAACATGGCACGATGAGAACAATACCAACCGCGGCTATCGAGGCGATTTTTGGAATGCCTGCTCATTGTGATCAAGAAAGAGGCTTTTCTGTTTACAACAAGGCTAAGCTTAGAGAGGACAATAAAGAAAACAAGAATATCATACATCCTTCTACTCTCAGGGTAATAGAAAGAGAGGAAGAGCTGCGCATAAGCTTTGTGGACCTGTGCTTTCCGAGAGCTGACTTCACACATAATTTTTCACCAACAGAATAAATTGGAGAAAATAACCTCCTAAGCCTCGGGAGGACAGCCATATTTGGTATAATGACGGCTCCAATATTGACCGCAATGTCGGGAGTAGAAGTCCAAAGCTTACAATTCGGTAGGCTTCTTTTCAGCAGCATGTGGCAAGCTAACTCTGTCTTTCAGGCCGAGGTGCGTGCCATTGAGCTACATTTGCCTGAGACAGTATATAGAAAGTGTGCGAACCGCACACGGGATTACCTTCAGCTGTGTGTGACTGCCTTCAGTTTTTGAATATTTACATATCGCATGCAGAAACCGGGATAACATTATTTGGCTACCGGTATACAGTGGAATCATGGACAATGGCAAGAATTCGTAGGCGTAGGACCCTTTACTGGTCAGAATCAACAAGGATGAGCAACATTGTTGGAAAAATACGGAAGGCAACGGAAGAACTTAGTGCGTCATCTTGAATTTATCAGCAAGGAGAATCGAAGCCCTCCTTCCCCTTAGTAGCAAAGAAGTAATAATTGTTACGGGAGGAAGACAGGGAAGAACAGAAAATAACATTTAAACCCTCACTAGGACCAGCTTTTTCTTCCCAGGATAAAAGGTAATCTGCTCCCCCTCGTCTAAATCAAATGTAATCAAATCTGGTCCTTGAGTGCTCTGCTAAACTTAACTTCACTCGTAGGCATAGCAAAATCCTTTTTTATGTAGCGTCAAGAACTGTGGGATACTTTTCCTTCAAGTACCTTTTTACATAAAACCTGAACCTTTGCTTACCATGTCCCTCATTTATCTGCTTGGACACTGAAGGCATAGGCAAATCAGCACTATAAGGAAGTGGCCGTGTTTCGGGGTATACATATATTTGTTTATTAAGGAAAATGTTTTGACCATATAAATCCCACCAATATTAGTCAGGCAAAAGCAATAATCGGATACGTGGTATAGAGGCCGTGTCAAAATCATAAATGCGTCTATAACTTTGAAAATTAAGGACAAAATGAATATTTATATTATCTTCAATAATAACAGCAAAAGAGATTTAATAGTTCGTTCATAAATTCGATTATAACGGATTTTCCTTACTAAAATTGAAAAATTTTAATCGATCGATCGGGCACTTACTTGTCCATATCTGGTGGTGTTAGTTCCAGTTCAAAGCGTTAAACGTTTCGTGGTGGTATATAAGTTCATACATACATACATATTTATTTATATGAAAACCCTTTTTTGTATATATTCACGCATATTCCGTATGCACTCAAAACACAATTTCTTCTTTTTCGCTTTACACTTTTGTGGCATATTCTAAAAAAAACTTGTCAACTCAACAAAAATTTTGACAAAAGGGGGGCTATGATAATTTTCAGGTGATTTAAACCAAATTAGCATAATTTTGATACTGGCTGGCTTGCCTTTTGGAAGTATATATTTAGGACATTTGCATATTGACGCACGTGCTGGAGTTAATAAAATAAGCAAACTAAGTCACGTGGAAGGTTATGTTGTATAGAGAGACTAGTTGTATAAGTAGTACTCAAACTAGTTTTATTGCGAAAAATTCTAAATTGATGCTGAGAAGAGAGACTTGCTTTTGTAAATTCATGCAAAAAAAATTAATGACTAAGTTGGAATCATTCCACCACCAGATAATGACCCTGAAACCGTTGCAAAGCCACTTTAAATTTGTTCAAAGTTCACTTGATGACTGCCAACTAATCTAAAACTCACACAAAATTTTGAAATGCCTGACATTGATTTCTAAAATTCCTTACTGGGCTACTTACGCAAAACTGAAAGTTCAGCAAAAATTTCGCATTAACACTGACAGTCACATGCAAAAAAGTATCGCGTTCTTGCTTCTCTCCCAAAGTTTGCGACTTTCATCTCAAATAGCCAAAGCAATCATTCCGATAGCTCAACAGATGTTTGCTGGCTGCCTGCCCAAAAAATAATAGAAAAAAAATAAAAGTAAAAAAAAAAAATAAATAAAAACTTGGAAGCAGATTTACAAATCAAGCAGGATTTTTTTTTATGATTATGCTAATCAAATAAATAATAAATTCCAAACGAATGGTTTGGCAATGTTGACTAGAATAGAGTTGTGTGGCGAATTATCTGGAATGGCAAGCGTAAGCGTACACACTGCATATACATATACACATAAAGTTGTATCTACATAAGTGAAGGGAAATGAGTTTTTTTTTTCAGCAAACAAATGCATATATGTATGTAGGAGTACTTGTGTGCATTTAAAGCTGTGTTTACTTTGCTCAGCAATTGTATGTATAGTGCTGGGACATACTATGGGTAGTCAGCAGCCAGTTGGTTTATTTGCAATGTTCAATGCAAACAATATGCTATCTACAACACAGGCAGATACATACATACATAGATAAACGCATCGATATAGAAATGTGTGTGCATAGTAGATACATATGTGCATATGGCTATGCAAATTCTAAGCATATGCGTCGCTTCTATTATCCTTTCTGTACGAACTCACATAGATGAACATTAGAGTGTATCAATTTACAAGGCAATTTCGATTTTTTTTTGCATATTTCGATGGTCCTATGCAATAACAACACAAATTAAAATTAAAAAAAAAATAAAAACTGTTACTACTGTCTAATCTTTAAAACTTAAGTACTTTAGCAATCCTTACTACTTATATTAGCAAGGGTTGGAAATGGATTAGACAAGGATTAGATACAAGAGCCACGTAACAGTAGTAACAATTTTTATACCCGAGCGCACTTGTGCACAAGGGTATATTAATTTTGTTCACATAACGGTTGTTTGTAACAGCCAAAACGAATCGAGAT